AGAGTATCAAGTTGAAGAAGGTCACTGGACTACCTATACGTCCAAGTTTGCTCTTCTTTAAACACACACACACACACGGGGGGGGGGGGGAGGTCAGAGAGAGAAGATATATTACTATACACTAAAATTATATTTTTATAATTTGAACTTCTTTCTCTAAAACAGCCATTTGCCTGCCTGACACAGTCAAACACATTGTTTGTGCAACAGTGCAAATTCCAACTTTAGTTTCCCACTTTAGCTGCCAGAATTGGCTTAGTTGCACTGGGGTTCTAGAAAAGAAAGCAACCCTTCCCAAAATTTGGCTACATTTCTTAATTTTACTAAGTGACTTACATGACTAGCCAAATTATTCAATGCTTTTAATACCATCATCAGTGGTTTAAATAACTAGGGTTTGTTGAAAAATCTCAAGTGGCTGGGTTGATGCAACATACTAAATTAGCCTTCCCTACTAGTTTTGGCACTTTCCAAATGAATGGAATCATCTCTCTGAATTCCTAGAAATAGCCATGACAGCTGTTGGAAGTCACCCAAATTGAGGAAAACCTGCTGAGTCATAAATTGTGGTGTAACATCTATGTCTAAGTTCATGCAATAAAGTAAGTCAAATGGAAGCAAGCTACAAAATAGATCATGGCTTGGTCTACGGATTTATCTTGATCCAGAGACCAGGCCATTCTTCTGAAGACGAAGAAATTATTGTAGAGAAAGAAAAGCAGTTTAATCTCCATTATGTTGTCATTTTAGTGAAAATAAAATACAGAAAGTGACATATCCGCAACAACAAATGCAAGGCTGTTGTATCTAGAGGTAAAGATCTACACTGGCTATCACTTTGGAATACTATTAAAATGGCATTGTGCTAATAACCCCCCCCCCTTTTTTTTAACAACTAACTATGTGAGGGTCTGCTTATTGGAAGCCTGGACAGAAACTGCTGTCAAAAATAAGAGTTGTTGAGATGAAAAGTATATGGCCAAAAGGGGAACCAAAAGGCTAGTGTAGAGGCAAATCCCAGAAAAGAAATAGTTACAATAAAGGTTGGTTAATGATCAAGATGTGCCTGAATCTCATAAAGCTCCCAAAACATATTTCCAGTCATGCTCACAACAGGTCATCTGGCCTTATCTTCAAACTACTGAGAAAGCAATACAGATTTTAGAAAACATTAAACCTGGGATGGGATCATGTTGGCTTAAGGAAGAAATACTATTTTTATATAGGTACTTTTAGCGATGACTTAACAGTTTCCCTCATGGGCCAGAAATGAGATGTGAGTCAGAGATTGCTCTGGGATAAACTTTAAGGCAGGGGTGTCAAACTGCTGGCCCACGGGCCGGATGCGTCATGGTGAAACCACACCCACCCCATTGGCGGCAATGGAAAAAAAGTCATGATATGTCGTGACACGTCACGTGACATTGCGAGTTTGACAGCCCTGCTTTAAGGGCTGGCAAGACCCACCATTTCTACTATATTGAATCCAAAGATCCTTTAATAGAGCTGATTCTCACGGTCTGCTAATCAAGGCATTAAGATGAACAGGTTGTTTTCTTTTGATTTCATTTTTTCTCCAATTTACTATGGAGGCAGCCTATGTTAACCTTTTGGTGTCTGGTATTCAAGCAGTGTTTTGTCTGTTCCTCCATGACATATGTAATGTTCCTCAGTATACCACTGAGAATACAGTACAACATATCACTGAGAATACAGTTGATGACTTGGTCAGGAACTAAGATCTATCAGTATCTTTAGTATTTTCCTTTAGCTGGTCACTAAAGGTTATTTTGCTTTGGCAACAGAGAGTCCAGTTCTTTCAAACTGGGTTCTTCCCTGTACCAAAGAACCATTTGTCCAGCTACCCCTACCAAACTGACAACACATCCCCAAGCTTCTAGGACTTGAAGGGTGGGAAATGGGGAAGGCTGACTTATTTTACCACCAGATGACTGATCACAAGGAGCTGATCCTGATCCTGAACTCCTGTTGTGGGAGGGATTGTCCTTCAAAGAGATGTGAGAGAGACAGTTGTGAGATGAAGGGGAAGAGCTTCTTCCTTCAGCTCTTGAAAGGCTACTTTTACACATAGCTTTAGGGCTGCTCCAAAGGATATTTCAAAATAGTTTTATTCCATATGAAACCCAACAGTGAGTTAACTCTAGCTGATAAGAGAAAGGTTTCATAGATGGCTAAACCTGCAGTGCTAGTCCTCTGTCAGAATTTACCTTTTCCCCAGTCTAAGTCCCTAGTAAGGAGAGCAAGTGGTGAATATTTTTCCCACTGGCTAATGGATTTGGCTTTTAAAACTGGTTCTGTGAGAATTTTGTAAGGACAGTGCCATATCTTGCTCTTGTTACTGAGGCAGAATAGAACTCCACAGTGAAGGCAGTCCCATTGATGCCAGTATAATGTTCTAGAAGGGAATGGATAAATATTAATATTGCCACAAGAAAGAGTCCATAAGGAAGCTTTATGCCAATGAATGTTTTTGACATTATATTGTTGGATCTTGGAAAACAAATGTGTCCACAGCTCATTGCTGACTAAGCAATTGGCCCTTGAATCAAAATATTATCAGATCTAAATCAGAGAGACAATAGCACTCCAAGGAAATCTAATTCTACTGTCACACTGATAAAATGTTGAGTGACCTTAAAAAATACAATATTTATTGCTTTTAAAAATAATTCAGACTACAGACTTCACACTATGGGCTTCAAGACTATTAGGTGATTCTAATATGGAAACAGGGATTAACCCATGATCTAAAAGCCACATTTTGGGCTTTTTGAGGAATTTTCTATTCTTCAAAGCGCCTGCAAATTCTGCTGCTGAAACATGGTTCCCAAACAATCAACTTTTGGTAGTGTTATTATGAAGTTGCAAATTAGCTACATCAAGCCATCACTCATCTATTTCCATCTGAAGCCCATCCACAGTCATCCACACATCTCCCCCAAAGCTAAAAAAAATTATTGTCCCTTATTATAAGAATGTGGCCTACCAAGACGGATGTTGTGTTCCTCCCTCACAGGCACCAAGGCCTTCCTTGTGTGAAAGGAAATGCAGAGAAGGAGGAGATGATTAGGCATGGGATGAAGTCCCCATTTTTCTACTCCCCGTTGGCTGGCTTGTCAGCCTGTCCATGCCCCTTCTTCATTCACCTAATCCCAGAAAGGACGCAGTAATAGAGACACTGACATAGCAGCACAAAACTGCAGCATGGGGGATTGAGAAGTGAGTCCAGTGGATCTACCCTGGGTTAGCAAGAAGGCTAGAAACTTTAGCCACTCACTCGGACTACCCTCCTGTCTCACTGTCCCAACCCAAGGATGCCCTGCTGACACCTTTAAGGACATATCCTTATGACACAGTACTGTATTCTCTTCAGCCCTGTTTGTCTTTAGCTTTTTTGGTTTGAACGTCATATTTTTCCTCTTCTCACAACATAAGCCTTGCCAGACAAATATCCAGTGATGCCTCTCTATCAATATTGACACATTCAGGGGTAGAAACTGCCCAGCTCCCATTGGCCACTGTTATGTTTGTATGGGTATGCTTTATTCCTCCCCACTGGTCATTTGGCAATCCCTCCCTGCCACTTTGGCTTAGTCTGGGCACTTGAATCTAACAGAAGCATTTGCTCATGTAATGCTCCGTTGCTGCTTCACAGAGCACCATTCATGCATTACACAAGGGCATAAGTCTAGTATTCTTTTGGAAGACTGTTAGGCCTGTTTTTAATTGTTTCATGGTCTTTTGAAAGAGCAGCAGAACCTGTTAATAAACAAGACTATGCTCTCTGTGCAGAAGGTCAACTGACATTGAGAAAGAGAGATATAGTCTGCCAAATACATGTTGATTCTGACCCGAATGAGGCATTGTAAGTTTTCACACTTTCTTCTGACATGTAGCTATGCTGTCTACTATTTATATTGTACATTGCCCAAAGACCTTCTATGAGGGAGAAAGGGGGGGTTCTTAAATATGATTGATAAATATTATAGTGGGTTGCTCTTTGCATATCCCATATTGAATACAAATGTCCTCACAGCATGAGAGGCTCTTTTGAAGACATTTACTGTCAGAAGGTCAGCTCTCATACAATATATCCAGGAAACAATCTCACCTTCCCCAGTTTTCAGATTATGAAATTGACTTCAGGAAAGTTTGTATTCTCTTCCAATATGTAGGAAAATTACACCCCGTTATTAAACTTTAGTTTAATGATATTTTATGGATATTAATTTATATGTTACATTTTTAATTACACGTATTGATGTTATGGTTTAGTTTGATAATTGTATATATAAATCAATAATTTTACAGCTCCACAAACAAACTTTCTGGTTCTCCCCGACGACGTGTGGATTTCCACTCTCAGAATTGATAGAAATTGCCATGTTGTCTTGGAAATTCTGGGAATGGATTTGAGGGAGGTTGAGGAAAACAGGCTTGGCACCAAGGCAATGGGTGGGGTTCCCACAACATGCTGCAGCAGGAACAACCCAACCCCACTTTAGTCCTCCTTGCTGAGTTTTGTGAATTCAAGCCTCAGATATTATGGAGCCAAAATTCAAAAATGAATGCTTCTACTACTGTTACTGCTACTGCTTCTTCCTCTTCCTCCTCCTGCGTTACATATAAAGTAGTTCCGAAAGAAACTCATTTTTCCACCAGAAAAATTGAGAAACTGCAGCAAGAGCAGGCGCCCCTCAGTCCATAGGGCAGATTCCTCACCTGCCCTGAAAAGAGATTCTCCGCTCCTTCTCCTGAAGGAGTGTGAGGGGTGGGGTGGGGACGACAGCGCGCCTTTGCGCCAGCAAAGCCCCTCGTTTTCACGTTTCCCGTAGCAGCCCCTCCGCTCCTTCTAACGGGGCGATCCTAGCAGCCCTGCTTCTGCTGGAAAGGACGGGACTAGCGTTCGGAAGCGGAGACTGCGCGGGAAAAAAGGCGGAGGACACCGCCGGCGAACGTCTCCGGGGGCGTAAATCCCCGCCGCCAGGGGTCGGGATAGCGCGGCCCGCACGCCCTGCTGAAGGGTCCATTGGACGGGAGGGGTGAAGGTGACGCCCCTTCCCGACAGGCGGGCTCTGTGGGGCAGGAGGAGGGAGCTTGCTATGGGACTCTCTCTCCGGCCCCGCGCACCGCCGCGCGCCCTCAGCCATGGCTCGCAACTTCGAGCACCTTTTCGAGTCCCTCGGACACTTCGGCAGGTAAACCAGCCCCGACGCGGAGACAGGGAGGGAAGACGGTAGGAAGTAGGCGCCGGGCGGAGGGGAGGAAGGCGCCGCTCTCCCGCTCCTCGTCCTCTGGCGCGCACGAAGAGTAACCAAGTTGGGCGAAGTAAACTGTCCGCGCGGGACGAGGGCAGCTCGGGACCTTCTTCTTGCTCTCCCCGGAGCTCGGAGCCGCGCGGGAAAGGCAGGGGGAGCTGCCTGAGATTGGGCTCCAGGGCGAGACACGTGGCTGCTAGGGAGAAACCGATTTAGGCACTTCCAGCCGCGAGTCCCTCACGGCACCCTCGCCCTCCTGTAGTAGGTGAGCCGTGGTTTCCCCCCAACCCAACCCAACTGCCTGATTCGCAAGATCCGCTGGATTAGACTGGGATAGACGGAGTTTGGGAATCAGTGTCTTATTCGAGCGTAACCCGAGAGAGGTCGCTGGTAGCTTGGGGACTAAATGGAGATTTGAGCCCGTGGATTCCCGCCCCCCCAGTCCTAGCCCAACCCATGCTTGTGTCATGACTGGGGGTGGGGGAGATCTTAACCCCGGAATTTCCTGACAGAAGAGGAGCGATATTGGCCTCTGCATTAGAAACGGGTAGCGGGGTCTTCGGCGACGGGAAGCCTTGGATTTAAGGCTGGTTTGTAGTTGTGGCTGGTGGCGGTGATTACGCAAATCGGAGGCTGCTTTTATTGCGGAAAATCCCCCCCTTAATCTGGAAGACACAGTAGTCATTATTCTGTACATGCTGTAAGCAGTGGTTTGTGTCCTTATATCAAGTTTGGGTAGAACTGAGGTTAGGTGGCAGTGGAAACTATCGTTTGAAGTCGGTGCTGGAGGTTCTGCGAGGTGATGTATTCGGCCCATTGGAAGTTGGAAATACTTGAATGGAGGGGCATAGGCGGGTGACTCAGTATGGGATGATCGAATAAATCTCATCTATTTGTGGGATATGCCCTCATCCGCAAGATCCTCCCACATATCTGTGTGTACATAACATGTTTATTTGTAGCCTGAATCCTTAGTAAGATTGAGATCTCAGAAAATTAAAATCTGATGGGCAGCTTTTCTGTATAGCTGATCAAGCCTGAACTACTGTAAATTGGTCGGCTTAATCAGGATGAATAAATAATAGAGGTGTGATAAAGTGTTGATGTTTAATGAAGGGACTCTCCATCTGTAGGAGTATAGGTACTACTCAATTTACAACCACAAGTGAGATCAGAATTTCCGATACTAAGCAAGGCGGGTTGTAAGTGAGTCACGCCTGATTTTTTTTTTTTGGTCATGGTTAAGTAAATCACTGTTAATTGCAAACTGAATCATGTGGATGTTAAATGAATCTGGCTTCCTTCCTTGATTTTGCTTGCCAGCTGGGAAGTTCATCAATGGTGGTCAGGTGACCCTGGGATGCTGCAGCCATCATAAATACTTGCCATTTGCCAAGTTCCTCATTTTTGATCACATGATTGTGGGGAAAGCTGTGATGGTCATAAGTGCGAGGACCACTTGTAGGTCAGTTTTTTCAGTAACTTTGGATGGCTGCTAAACAAATGATTGAAAGTCGAGGACTACCTGTATAGTTGGAGCAGAGTGCCAACAGGTTTAGTGCATTTGAATTCCTAGAGATAGAAAAGGAGGATAGATATAAGTGAAACTCAAAATCAGGAGGAATCTGTACCATTTTTTCTGACTAACCTTTTTGACTAACTGGATTCCTTCTGATTGTGGGCTACCCTAGACTTAGCAGGGCCCTCCTTCTACAGTATCTAAAGCGAGATGGTTTATTGGGGGAAAAAAACCAATCACACTTCTGAAAATGCTTGGTTTTTTTAAAGAGCCTACATCAGACATGTCAAACACAAGGCCCGGGGGCCAGATACGGCCCGTGAAGTGGTTTCATGTGGCCCACAAAGCCATCCTGGAAACAGTGAGGGAACGGCCCCCGCTGCCTTGGCCCTGGCCCAGGCCAGCCGGGAGCCAATGTACAATTTTGTGGTGGCCATCTTGGCACTTGCCCCAGTGGACCATGCCTGGGCACTTGCCCCAGTCCCACTCCCTTCTGCCAGAGACCCTCAGATCTGTCCCACTCATGCCAAGGCCCCCACAGGCACCCTTGACGCGAATGATGTAGAACTGGCCACGCCCACCCAGTAGGCCACACCCACTCCATCCACGTCCACCCAGTAGGCTGCACCCACTCTGGCCACACCCACCCAGCCCCCTAAGGGCAATCGCAATGCTGATGTGGTCCTCAGTGAAATTGAGTTTGACACCCCTGGCCTGCATACTTTAAGAAAAGGCAGGCACCACAAAAAAATAAACACTACAACTATTTCATGCCTATTTAGCCTCCACACTCTGTCCAGACTAACAATAGGCTAAGAGATTTAAAACGAGTGTGTGGAGAGTTAGGAGGGTGGTTTGCAAGCACTGCTAACCAGGAGCTGTTGCATTGGTTTTATCTGCACAGAAAACATGCATTTATACAAGCCAGAAATGATATTTTATATGAAGAAACATAGATGTGAGAAATAGATAAGCTCTGAACTCAGCAGTCTTGAAGTCATTGAACTGTACTTGGTTTTGTATTAAGAACCAGGTCAGCCAAGAGGAGGTCAGTGTCCAGTAGTCATTGAGATGAGTGGTTAGATACGAAAAGTTACGTGTTGCATCGGTGCACACATACATACAGTCTGTACCCTAGTACAAATCTGTGCCACAGTTCCTACGTATTTATTGGTGCACAACATTCAGTTTAATACTTTTCATTTGCATTCGAGGAACACTAAAAGAAAATGCAAGACCACTATAAGTAAATACAAAATAGACTACTTGCCAAATTAGCCATGATTTACTTCTGTTTTCTGGCTTTGCCCAATACTACATTGTAAACCAACTGTGCACAGCTTGGATTTACACAAAATGCTAAACTAAAATATGGTGGTCTAGTTTACTGTATGGTTTTGTATACTAGGAAAACATAGCTTGTTTTTTAAACTTGCAGTATTAAACTGTTGAGAATCAGGAGTCATCTAGAGATTGCTTAGTTTTTGCCTTCCTGTGCACTACAGAACTGCATGCATTTTTGTTTTTGTTTTTCCCCCTCCCCTCCCTAACCAAATAGTGCGGGAGATACATTTTCCAACTCTAAAAGTACAGTAAATACTGGAACATGGCTTGCACACAGGCAAATAATAGTGCACATTTTGTTTTCCAGTTGAATAAACATTATCTGGGATTGATCAATTAGGTTTCAAAACTTACTGGTAAGATCAGCATTCTTAAGAGTCGCTGCTGAAAAATAGTTCACTTCCTTTTGTTTTACATGTATAAGTATGTGTGTGTGTATGTGTATATATATGTGTGTGTGTGTGTGTGTATACATATATGTGTGTTCAGTTATTTTTGTACAGTTACTGTAATATATTTGATTTTTAATGACAAGATGGTGAAGCCAGGTTGAATATAGAAGGAACCTGTTTAGGTAAGAAAGTTTCAGTTTGGCAGTTTCTAAGATAATTTATTCAAAATAAATGATGTTTAATGATTTTAATGCTTGATTTTAGTTTATTTATGTTTTAATGTATACGTATAGACATATTTTAATGACTGTAAGCCGCTCAGAGTTACCCTATGGCAAGATGGCCAGCCAATAAATTTTATAAATAAAAAAATAAATAAAAAAATGTGTAAAGTTTTTCATTGCAGAAAACATACTGAGAACAGAACAAGATACTTGACTGATAGATTATATAGTTTTATCTACATTTCATGACACAACTGAAGATAACTGAAATTTCAATACAGTATGTAAATCAATCAGAATATTTATTTTGATAGGTGGTTGACTCCAGAAATCCAGAGTAATCAAGACATCATAGTGATTTTAGCTGATCTATTCTTAAGGATGATTAAATCTGAATCCACCCATATTTGCACCATGTAATAATATAAATCCAAGAAAACCTGATTAAACAAGTGAAAACAGAAGGGAAGTGTCTGCATGTGTGTCCCTCTTTATTGGTGGTCTGCATAATAGTTATGTGGAGGTTTTCCCAACTTTCTGTTTCTAAGTGGTGCTTGGTCACAAGTTCTGTCATCCCCAGATAACATCCAATGTTCAAACAAGATGGACACAATAGACATATTTGTATACAGTGTGACAAAAAAGTTTTTTTCCTGATTCTATGGCCACTTTTCTGCTTATTTTTCCTGTGGTGGGCACTCCCTGGAAGCACATGCCAACCCAAGTGTGCCATAAAGCAGTGTACACACACATACCACATTGAATTTCAAACAATTTTTTAGACATAACTCTTCTTGTCTTCTTTCTCACATACATTCTCTAAGGCTGAAAAGCAGAAAACAAGTTCCTTGATTATGATGGCCAGTTGAAGTCACGAGATTAGTAAGGCCATGCCTGGAATACTGCATCCAGTTTTGGTCATCACATTACAAAAAAGATGGTGAGACTTGGGGAAAAAGTGCAAAGAAGAGCAACTAAGACGATTAAAGGCCTGGAGACTAAAATGTATGAAGAACAGTTGCAGGATTTGGGAATGGTGGGTTTAGAGAAAAGAAGGACTGGGGGGGGGGACATGATAGCCGTATTCCGATATTTGAGAAGCTACCACGAGGAAGAAGGGGTCAGTTTATTTTCCAAAGCATCTGAAGGCAGGACAAGAAGCAATGGATGGAAACTAATCAAGGATAGAAGCAACCTGGAATTAAGGAGAAACTTTCTAACGGTGAAGACAGTTAACCAGTGGAACAGCTTGTCTTCAGACGTTGTGGGTGCTTCATCACTGGAGGTTTTTAAGAAGAGAGTGGACAGCCACTTGTCTAAAATGGTATAGGGCAGGGTTGAAAACTTGGCCCTTTTATGACTTGTAGACTTCAACTCCCAGAATTCCTCAGCAGACAGGCTGGCTGAGGAGTTCTGGGAGTTGAAGTCCACAAGTCATAAAAGGACCAAGACTGAAGACCC